CTAATTTTAAACATCATTCTAATAATGAGATTTATCAAAAGAGCAGAAAGCAAAGTCCCCGCGAAACATTTTTAATTTTCAAAACTTGTTCTCGTACCATCAGCTAGCTAGAACTGTTGTACAGCGAGTGGGGTTCGAACCCACGAGGACTATGTCCATTGGAACTTAAGTCCAACGCCTTAACCACTCGGCCATCGCTGTCCCACCACTTGCCGCACTTAGTTCATGATAAGTTAATTTAACAATTAGTTTTTTACTCTTGAATAAATTAACAATTCAAAAATGAAATTCAGTGGAAGCATTTGGACAAATAGAAAACGAACGTTACAGAGTCAAAAAAAAAATTATTCGCATTGTTACAATTATACTTGTATTAATATAGCTATATGTGATGTACTAAGTTTAATGAATAAGTGTTGAATTTTTTTTTGTTAATTTAATATAAATACATATGTCAAGTATTTGTGTGTATTAAATTAGGAATAAGATGTGATTAAAATCTATTGTATTCCTATCAAATGTTACATGATTTAAGGAGTTATCTAATAAAAAAGTAGATGTACAATGGCACTTTTTAATATACATTCATTTGGAATATTGCTGAATGAATCATAAATTAGTCATTCATTAATTAACTGCATCTCATTGTGATTAATAATGGATCAACATCTTTTCAAAAATATATTTTCCAATTAATTGGAAAGTAGAAACTGTGTAAATGTAGATGAAGAACTTATTCTCTCTCTAATTTTTCTTCGATCAAAATAGATAAAAGAAAATGTTTCAGATTTATCAGGAAACATCATCATTCGAAATAAATTGATGAATTAATTGAAGCCAGCCTAATGAATGCATTTATTTCTTTCAGCTATCATTTTTGTTCTTTTTTCTTGTTGTTATTTTCAGCAAAACCAATCGATTTTGCAAAAATTTTTGAATCATTTTTAACGGGCTCAAAGGGAAATTTTGATGAGCGCATTTTTAATTTACCAGAAATATTGGGAATTTGTAATCGACTTAGTTGTGGAGATATTTACAAAGCTATTGATGCATTTCGAAAAAGTGAATTTTTTATTAACTTTCAGGTACTTTCATAGTTTGCTTTTTGTTTGTTCATTTCGCTTTTTTTTCAATTTATGGATTGACAAATTTAGAGTATAAATAATGAAAAAATATACAAACTATGTGTATCATTATTATAAATATATTTTTTTTTTTTTTGAATAATTATGAATCACTTTTGTGCTTCTGATTTTAAAATCTAAATTGTGAAGAAATTCCAAATTTGAAAAGACTTTAAAGAATAATTGTATAAATTATTGTAGACAGCATTACAATTAATACAAGATCCGAAAGGATGGGAAATTCTTGGTGATCTTATTTCAAATCCTGATTTGATTGCCCAATTCATGAATGGAGCAGGTGGAGCTAAAGGTGATCGTGGTAGTATAGAAAATTTATTTGGTAGTATTACTCGTACTAGTAAATCATCAAAAAATAATACTAAAGGTATATTTCAATTATTTGTTATTTCGATGGTTTGTTAGCAAGTATTTTTTATGAAGAAGAAAAAACATTTATTTAAATATATTTAAAAAATTTTTCTAAAATTAGCTTTTTGCAGAAATTGGTCCGGAAGATGGCGATATTGGCATCGATTTTAGCAAAATGATTGAAAATGGTAACAGCGGTTATGGTAATAAATTCGAGAAATCAAAAAAGCCAACTGTTGAAGAATTGCCTGAAATTGCGGAGAATATTGATGCAATCGACTATTACAACGCCGTAGGTTTGGATCATAACAATATTTTCATTCAACAATTAAGCATTTTAATCAGAACAAAAAAAAAAAAAAAAAATGAATAAGTTAGAAAGTATTGATAAGTTTTTTTTCCTAAGTGATTGATAAGTTTAAAAATATGAATAAATCAATAGTGATTAAATAAAAAATAAAAAGAAATAATGAGCTAAATAACATATATTAAATAAATGAAAAAAAAAAAAAAAACATATACTAAAGGTAGTGAATGGATTAGTAATGTTTTTTGGAAATAAATATTCAACAATTTTAAAATTATCCAACAAAGTATGGTACGAGATGATGAATAAATCTAATGGATAAATTAAATATTCATAACTAATTTTAGGTTGAAAGTGGTGCAGATATTGATGATATTGAAAAAATTACTAAACCAGATATTATTGCGATAACGGAAACAACCACAATAGCATCATTGATACAAACCAAAATATCATCTATTATTACGGACTTAGGCCTAATATTACCTGAAATTTCTGAAAATATTGATCAAATTGAGCAGACAAAAATAATAATTGATGCTATCACACCGATTCCAACAAAAATTTCAGGGTATACTTCCTCATTTACTCTTTGATTTTAATTTTATTGTTTATTGGTATTTTTATTTTGTTATTTATTACATTTTACTTCTTTAAATTTATGAATTTTTAAAATTCTTTTTCTTTAAAAAAAAAAAGAAACCAATAACAAGACAATTGTTAAGCAGACAGTAATTTAACTACCGTAACAATAATTTTTAGCCGACAAACCACTGTTGCAACTCTTCAACGACTAGTACGTCCTTATATCACCGTAACTTATAAACCTATCATTGCAAGAACAACAACAATAACAACTGATAAACAAACAATAACAACTCGTTATTCCACCTGGATAAGTACAAGTGCAAGAAGACCAACTACTAAATCAACAACCAGAAATTTCCGTGAAGATAGTGATTATTATGCTATGTATTATGATGATGTAAGAGGTTAATATCAGTTTTGCATAATTCATAAAAATTAAGGATTTTGAAATTTCAATACTTCTGAAAATCTAAAAATCTCTATAATCAAAACTTCTATCACTTGTTAAACTCGAATATAACATTTTGCAAAAAAAAAAGTCAATGAAGAAAAAGAAAAAAAAAAAAAAGATAAATAAATTCTCCTTAAATTTATAAAATTTTAAATATTCCAAGATGATAAAATTAATGTAAACTTTATGAACTGTAACAAAAAATAAAATAAAAATGAATTGCAAGAAAAATCTATCAATGAAAATAAGTTAAAATAAATTAAAAATAAGTTAAACATCATATTAACCTTTTTTATTAACAGCAAATTAATAGTAAAATATATCGATTCATGATCTGAATAACTATCAGAATGTCTGCGATATTTCAAATGCTTCAATTATTCATTTTAACAAATGCAAAATTTGTCACTCAAGTAATATCAGAGTTCAAGGATTTAATTGTTTCCGTATTTGGACGAGATAAAGTGGGGGTAAAAATTATTCAAAGGTAATAATTGTTCCCAAACTTGAACAAGACAAACTTCCAGAATTCAAGGGTAATAATTGTTCCCGTATTTGGACGAGACAAACTGTCGGGGTTCAAGGGTAATAATTGTTCCCGTACTTGAACAAAACAAGGTTATGAATTGAGATGAAATATACAATTTTTCCTTTCAATATAATGTCATACAAATAAATTAAAGTATTGAAAATAAGTAAGAAATGAATTTAAAATACCGGCAAATAATTGGTAAACATAAAATATAAATAAATGTTTAACTATAAATAAACAAAATATTAACTACTATATTTTACTGTTATTAAATTACAGTCAATTAGGACAATAATGGATATTATCGGCATTGATAAATGATTTATCAGATAATGATATCAAGGAAGAAAACAAAACAAAACAAAACAAAACAAAAAAAAAAAAAAAAGAAAAAGAAAAAGAAAAAACGTGCATATATCAAATTAATGAATAAAATTAATGTTAGTTTCATCTTTTTTATTTTTCTCACCATTATTATCACTTATTAATTTCCTCATAAAAAATTTTGTCTCCGAAAGATAAAAATGTTTAATTCAATTTTTGACAACAAACTAGAATTATTCAAACTTAATTAGAACTCAATTTTCTTTCATTCAGTTTGACTTTATGAACTAAATATTTTACTAAAAATTGTCTGTATTGTTATTATTATTATTACCATTATTACTATTACCACTAAACATTACTGTATCATAATTACAAAGCTACACCGACTTATCTTGAAACTACAACGAACAGAATCAGCTAATTAGTCAACCATCACTATAAGATGCATTATCGATCGAACGGCTGATATCCAATTTGCTACACGGAAGTCTCAGAGATTTTTTATTTCGTCAATTATGTATATTCTCTTTATATGATTGTAAGATTTTAATATAATACTTATTTGGTAACGTATTGTGTTGTTTTATATAACAGAATTGACGTGGATTACGTTAAGATAATAATTATAAATTATTAAATTATCAAACATTTACTACTTTTTCATTTTATTGTGAATTATTCAATTATGAAACATTGCTGTTTTTCTTTCGTTCTATTATAAATTACTAAATTATGAAACATTTTCTCTTTTTTTTCATTTTGTTTTATTTTCAGGGTTAATCAAGAAATGAAATAATTAATTTAATTAACAGAAATGTTGTGATATATGCGAAAAAACCAAGACATTTGTTTGATTATTTTGTGAATATTTTTACGATTTAATTAATTTATTTGTTTCTATAGCAGCTAGAAGTATTGCAATTGATGGCTAGCAATTGGTTAGTGTTGATATTATTACAAATTTTTTATCGAATAATAATTCCTTCTTTCTTTTTTCTCCTGCATACATTTATTTAAATGTTCCTACATATTTTTGAAATTACATTTTTGTTAGGAAATTATGAAATTTTTTTGAAAAACTTGAAACTTTGATGCATATAATAGTCTCATTAGAGAATTCTTTTTTCATTTATTTTTTTATAAAAGTTTAAACTATTTAATCATTCATTATAGCCATTTATGGGTTTTCATTGATGATCACTAGCTGATATGATTCATCTTTTATCTTATTTTCCAACTGAAATATTTGTTTTAGATTTGATGCAGAAAGAATGATGATAAATTGATAATTTATTTGAAACAATGAGGAAATTATATCGTTCCGATAGTGAAGGCCATTTACCTTTTCTTGTTAATCCTATCGCAGAAAAGCGAACATCTCTACATCTATGCAGAGTAAGTTACAAGTTATTAATTTTTGAAAATCATTTAGTATAAAAATGTTTCTAGCAAATATTTTTAAATGCATATTTTAGAATATTTGATCAAAGTATAGAAATTTGGGCAGTTTTAATTTTAATAAGTGTTTTTTTTTTTTTTTTTTTTTTTTTTTTTTTTTTTCAGTACTGGCGATCATTGGCTCGTTTACAGCGTTTCGCTCTGCTCATTTTACTCCTTTTTCTATTCGTCATTTGTTTTATTGCAGCAAAAGGCACAGTAGGTGTGGACAGTGCATATCAGTTATCAAAAAATATTGCAAATGGTGCAGAACCAATCGATATGCCTCCTAATAATGATAAAGTTCTTATTGCTTTCTCTTTTACTCATATAATTTTCCTACATAATTTATATAATTCGAAAATTTAAAATCTTCCCCAAAAAAATTTTTTTAAGTCTTTTTGTTTTTAAAACATATTTTAGCTTTTCATCTTTGATCCAATGTTTATAAATTGTTAGGTTCATTTTTTTTTTCCTGATTTTTAGTCAGCAGAAGAAATAGCATACAAGGATTCAGCACTGCTGAATCAGAGTCGCGAAAATTCTAAAAGCGATGAAGAGAAAGATGATGATGTTGCGAACAGAGGAAAGATTCAAAATCTTAAACATATTAAATTTAGAGGTGAATTATAATCTTTCTTATGAATTCATTTGGTAAGATTATATGTTCTTTATTGTGCGATCAGCAGATATTTACCTAGATGTAGGAATTCTACTAAAGTTTTCATTGATCTCTGAGGAATTTATATTGTTTAAGTATTTTTGATTGTTCTCTATAATATTTGCTAATTTTTTTTTTCTTTTTTTTTTCTTTTTTTTTTTTTTTTTTTTAGGGGCACAAAACGATAAACAAAAAGCAGTGGTGGAAGCATTCAAACATGCCTGGAAAGGATATAAGAAATATGCTTGGGGACATGATCATTTGAAGCCGGTTACGAAGTCTTATAATGATTGGTTTGGTTTAGGATTAACAATTGTTGATTCGTTATCAACTGCCATTATTATGGGACTTAATGATGGTGAATTTTACGAAATCGTCTTTCAAATATCATAAAGTATCATCAGTTGTAATTATACATATGAAGAAAAGGTGTGATGAGAAAAAAAAGGAAAATTTTATTTCAGAAAAGCTTTTTACGTTTCTATTATTAAGAGTTCAAAGAAGGAAGAAAATGGGTTGCTGAATCGTTGTCGTTTGAGAAGAATCGTTTTGTGAGCTTTTTCGAAACAACCATACGCGTACTTGGTGGTTTATTAAGTGCTTATCATTTAAGTGGTGATCAAATGTTTGTTCATCGTGCTGAAGATCTTGGTTCTCGACTTGCTGCAGCTTATGCAACCTCATCTCCTATTCCATACAGCGACGTTAGCCTTACGAATAGGTTTTTTTTTTTTTTTTTTTTTTTATATTTTTATATGCAAGCATCCTGTTATTAGACTATAATTATATTTTTGACTAGTGACAAAGTTCAATCATCATAATTGAGAAATGCTGAGCAATAACTTTTTCATTCTTAAAAGATATTTAATTTGTTATATAATGTACAATAATTAACTGTAATTACAAATATCATAATTTTATAGATAACATAGATCTCATATGAATTGTCATCTTTTCTACATTATTTCCTTAGGTCTTCTTTTGAAAGACTTTTTATGTAAAGTATAACCATTTTGTAACAACATTCCATACAACTTTAGTTTTTGATTATCGTATCACATTGTGTTGTTTGCATAATTAGAATTGATTTCGGCAAATGACCAATTTCCTTTTAAAATTTTATAACACGTTAGTTCATGCGCACTATTTTTATCTGAAATGTGTGATTACGCAATCAATTAAATGATGTGTACTGTTATAACATAAAATGTATCAGCTTTAAAAGTCATTTGCAATAATTTCAAACAATGTTCCTGCGAGTTTTTTAAGTGCTTTTTAGGGAAGGAAGGCAACCATCATGGAATACTTACTGTTCTCTTTCTGAGGTAACCAGCGTCCAGTTAGAATTGCGAGATCTTTCTCGAGTAACTAACAACAACACCTATGAAGTAAGTTTTGCTTGTTTATCTTGTAATGTTGGGGTTAACTTTGAATTGCATCTGTTTGTTTGTAACTTTAATCAAATAAATTTAGTTAATTTGTTAATATATATATATATATATAGATGCTTGCATTTCGAACATCCGAGCATATACACAAGGAAGGTTGTCGTGAATATGATGGACTGTGTAGTATGTTTATTAGTCCAGTGACAGGACGATTTAAAGGTGATTGGTTATATCCCTTTTGTTACTTTAATTTAAATCCCTCTATTACTTATTTTTCTTTTTGGATGTAAATTACTTCATGTAAGTAGTTGCTTGCGAAATTATTTTTATTCTATCTAGAAAATTCATGCAAGATCATTTTTGTTCTATTTAGAGCAAATGATCATTACTATGGGTGCACGAGCAGATAGTTACTATGAATACCTATTAAAGCAATGGCTACAAACCGGCAAAACAATTGATTGGTAAAATTGCACGATAAGATAATAAAATATATATTATAAAAACTTTTATAATAAATAAAAGACTTACTTTAATATTTTCTATATATCTATTCTCTGCTTGTTTAGGCTGAAAGATGATTATAATCAGTCAATGGCAGCAATGGAGAAACATCTTTTGCGATATACAGAACCAAATAATTTTGCTTTTGTTGGTGAAATAATAAGCGATAATGTATATTCTTCGAAAATGGTATAATTTTGAACTCGTGGAATTTATTTAATGACGGAAATGATAGCTTTTTTGCACTCGTTTTTTGATTCCATCGATTTTGACCAATGAATTACTAATTCCTTTTTTATACACTTATCATGTATTCATGTTAACATTAGATGATTTATTGCAGTTGTTGCTTATTGCAGTAAAATATAATAGAAATGATAAAAATAAAAATTTAGGAGTAAATTTTTAGGATCATTTGGCATGCTTTATTGCCGGTACTCTTGCACTGGGCAGTCTGAATGGTTTGCCAGCAAAACATATAGAGCTTGCAAAAGATATTGCAGAAGGATGTCATAAAATGTATGAAACAAAAACAGGTTTAGGTCCAGAAATTGTTTATTTCAATACTGATGGATCAAATGCTCAAGATATTTCAATCAAAGTAAGTTAAACTTTAGTCACTAAGTAATAGTAACTACGTGTTTTTGTAGGAAATTATATTTTGTGGGAAATAGAAATAATTTATGGAAAATTATTTCAATGATTATTTATAGCATATGGATGCGCATAGCTTATTGCGACCGGAGGCTATTGAAGCATGGTTTTATCTTTATCGAGCAACAGGTGACAAAATTTATCAGCAGTGGGGATGGGAAGTTTTCACAGCTATCGAAAGTTATGCAAAACTTGAACATGGTTACTCGTCAATAAATAACGTCAAAAGAATACCCGTTACATATAAGTAGGTTATACTACCTAATTATTTCTTTTTTCATGAGTTTTTGTAAGTAAGTGTTAAAAAAAAAAAGCTATCATTAATATTTCTTATTTTATTTCTCATCTAATTTCAGGGATATGATGGAATCATTTTTTCTAGCTGAAACTTTGAAATATCTTTATCTTTTATTTGATGATGACAAAACTGACATTCCTCTCGACAAATATGTCTTTAATACAGAAGGCCATCCATTGCCAATTTATGACCACTAAAAATATTGTTCGTAAGTCTTTGCCTTCACTTCTCATTAATGCTTAAGAGAAGTGTAAATTTATTACTAAACATTTGTATTTTTCTTGTAAAAATTTATAAAAATATGATAAACTGAATCTTGCTATTTCTATCGCCAAGTTTCCCAGTTTACTTGAAACCTCTAGCAATATTTTCTTTTATAATGTATGCCAATCTATATATTTAGCATTTCAATGCAATAAGTGTCCTATTTTCAAGAGGATTTGCCATTTAAATCTCTTAAATTTTTATAATCTTTAATTGCATTGTAATTTTAGTTGATTATGTTTCAGAATTTTCAGTACTTCATGTTCTTTCTAATTCTGTATAACTGGTTTCAATACCCGGCCAAATTATTTAATGTAATAAAATTATGCCAATTTATTTCCTTTATTTGTTTTGTCAATTTTGAGAAGTTTATTGTAATTTATAATCGTAATTTATACTCTTGTCGAATAGTTATGGCAGTCAGTTATGTTACCGGTGACCTCAAATACTGGTCTTCTTTAAATTCATTGCAATTTATCTTCTTTATGATTTTTTTGCTTTTCAAAAAAGAAAGGTTATGGCAGATCAGTAAAGATAATTAATTGCGATGTGGTATATACCAACTTTAGGATATTTTACTCTTTAATTTTATGCTCATTTTTTATAAAAAATGGAAAATGGAGATTGTTGGCTAATCCTTCTTCATTCCTTATCCATACATATTGATAATTCAATAGTTGCATATTGCATCCTTAACCGCTTGATGAATCTTTCATTTTCAATACCAACATTCTAATAAATTTAATTATGTCAAATTTGGTGAGCTTTCTACTATCTAGCCTTTTCCTTCTTCTTTCGATCAGTTAAAACTTTTTTAATTTAAGATAATTAGCTTATTGAAGTTGATATTTTTTTAATGGTGAAGATGTTCCCTTTTTAGTCATTTATTATATTTTATTGCTTTACAATTTGCTCTATTTGGTAATTCTTTTATCACAAAGCTTTCTTTATTCTTTAACGGTTCATTCAATGATTCTTCTTTTTTTTTTTCTCGTTTTACGTTTATTTAATAATTTTTGGTGTGTTCCTAATTAATTGCAGAAAGCAACATGTAAATGTGTAACAAATTTTTTGCTCCAATGAATAGCTATAAATCTAATGCATTAAATGAGTATATTTGCGTATACAAATAATAATAGATTTACGTAAAGTTATATATAATATTGAAGAGGTATTGTACACCTTTTGTTAGAGACAATAAATTCTGAAAGTTAAACTTTTCACAATAAAGCTTAATGTATAATTAAGTAGAAGGAAGTTAAAAAGGCTTTGATAATCATTATAAATTTGATTGTCATTTTACAATATTAAAACATTAAAATATTTATTATTAATTTAGTTTTTTTTTTGATGTTTGTTTTAGAATAAGTTAAGCTTTTATAAAAAGGACATTTGCCAACTTTAGTGTATTAATTTTCACATTTTTGTTTTACGTGTGAACTAAAGGTTTTTTTTTTTTCTTTTTTATCCGTTTATTTTATTTAGAGATTACTAAGTTATGATTTTTTTCGTGTAGAATTTTTTCTTTTTTTTTGTGTAGCTAAAAGCAAAAAATGGAAATCTCACAAAAAATAAGTAAAAATAAAGAGCAATTACAAAGTGAGGTCTGTTATGAATTCGTTGTTAATAACATATCTTTTATAAATAGATTTGGAATCAAAAAAAAACAAAGCTCAGCTTGTATGTTTTTTTAGTTGCATAATTTTCGAATTATATTCATGCTATTTGAAAATATTTATACTTATGTAACGGTATCCACGTAATAAAGTTTATTTGTATTTTTCCTAATCTTAATTTATAAAGAAAAGTTGCAGTAGGATTTATTGCGAAACATTTTATTAGTGTAATTTTCCATTAATTGGTATTCTTTATAGTTTAATTTTCTTTAACTGACATAATTATGTCATAAATAATTGATTTTGATGATAGCTTTGTTGTAAACTTCTATCAAATATATTTTTCTTTCAAATTCATAATTTAAAAGAAAAATGCTTATAAATGAATGAATATTATTAATTTTAGTTATGTTGAGATGTATCAATGATAATTTTTTTTTTTTTTTTTTATACATTCTTATTTTTACAAAATTTGCAATCCGAGCTATGGTAATACAATTATCCAACTAACGACTATTAACCAGCAAATTTCGTAGAAGAGATGAAATCATGGAAGCTTCCAAATGGACAAAATGACCTGTAATAACAGGGCTAAGGGTTAGTAACAGATTACCTGAAATATGGTAGAATTCATTAGGAATAGGTCATTTGTAGAGTGGCGGAATTGATTAGTAAAGATTCATCTGCAAAGTATCACTACTTTAGATGGTTCCTTTTATTTCTAAATTTTACTAAGCTAAAATTTATTTCGGAATCACTTATTCTAGTTATGACAGCTGACGTTTTAAGATCTTTGATCATGCTAAAAGCAGAAATAAATTTAGTTTAGTTAGAAATAGCTAAAAGAAATTTCAAAAAAAAGAAAAAAATAACAGTGATAGATAGTATATAAAAGTTTTTACAAATGGGTACACATTTTATAAGTTTTAATCATTTTAAATCATTTTTAAAAAAGAAAGAAAAACGAAAAAAGCAGAAGGAAAAACAATTATCTTTAGAGGAGGCATTACAAAATATTATGAGCACAAATTTGAATAACAAAAAATAAAATTCATAATTTGAAAAAAAAATTATTTTCTATGAAATGATAAAAATTTGTTGTAACAAATATTTTCAGTAATTATAATATATCGTGCGGCAGTGTTTTTTTTTTTTTTTTTAAAAAAAATGGATGGTTTTAGTTTTGTAATTCTTATTTTACGTGCTTGTGCTGCAGTATGTTTCTCTTCATTTCTTTTATCATTTGTCAATTCATTCTTTCTTTCCCATAAGTTTTAATCAAAATTCATTTATTGAAATTAATTCAGTTTAGCTAGTTAAATTATTCAAAAAAAAGAGAAAAATAAAGGAAAAAAGAAAAGGCTTATAAAGTTTTATAAAAAATATAATCCCATATGTGAGAAATGCTATCTAATGAATTAAATAGAAAATATTTATGAATGAAAGAAAAAAATGAATTTGCATTAAAAAAATAAACAAATACTAACAAATGTAAAGTTTGATATAATTTTTAAATTAAAATATACTTGGAAATTATGAAATAAAACAATAATAACAATAATCGTAATAATAATAATAGTAGCAATAATAATAATAATAATAATAATAATAATAATATTAATATTTTATAATGGGCAGATAGCGAGCTTAATTTCAACAATAAATGCAGTCATTGTTCTTGTCAATGCAAATTATTATGGACATATATTTATGCCTATAATCGGTTTCATTTTACTAGTCCTTCTTGTCATTTGGACATTTATTGCTGTGGCGGATGTTTTTGCCGGATTACACGAAAAATATAATTGGGTTAGATTAATTTCTAATATGATTAACTTTATAAAATTATCAAAATTCTTCAATTATTTTTTTTACCTCTTTGTAATCTCTAAAAATGACCTTTTTTCTTCTTTTTTTCAACCAACCGTTTGAATGATTTCTTTACTGATTAATAATTCCTTATTTAAATATAATTAATAAATAACGTATGTTTTTAAAAGTGCATCAATATAATACCTCTGCAAATCTGAATAATCTGAATGTGTGCCCTTTGTAATAAATTTGTAAAAAGTATAAATGATATCAATAAAATCATGGATATGATAATGAATGTGCTGATGAATAAATATTTTCAAATTATTTGAAATTATATATATGAGCTATTTTAAATTAATATATATATATATATATATATATATATATATATATATATGTATACTATTTATGAATTATAGGTAAGAGGATTGATGTGGTTCAGTGTCCCATATGGTTTATTAACAGCTTATCTTGTCACAGCAGCATATCTTTATGTCATGTTACATCGAAATTTAATTATTGTTAATATTTATTCTTAACAATTATAGCTCTTTTTTTTGTTCTACTTTCTCATTCAATTTATTTTAATCTTCAAAATCTTTATTTTCCTTTTTAGATTTAGCCAAAAAGGCAAAGTAATTAAATTAAATTAATGAATTATTATATTATAATGTCGCATTAAGTAATTATTAAGTAATGTAAATGTTTTCAATAAATTATTCTTAAATTTCTAAATCTCTAATAAATAATGTTATAATTGTTAAGGCATTTACATGGATTGCAGTATGCAATATGATTACGGATGCATTCATGATAAATTGCTTATCAAATGAATCAATGATAATACATGTATAATGGAAAGAAACATCAAATTGACTTTTTACAATTAAATTTTTCATTAGAACAATATAAATATATGTAAACTACTAAATCGTATTCTTGATAAAATATTTCTAAATTATTAAAAAAAGATTTAATAGTGCCTAAAATTTTAAGTTTTAATGCTTATAATCTTTGACATCTTATAATACTAAGTTTTTACCTAAACATTGTATTAAATTTTTTTTCATTTTTATACAATAACTGCGCTTCTAAATATTGTATATCCGAAAAAGTATAATTCGATAAATTTTTTTTTAATTTATGAAATTGTATAGATGCTAAATTGATAAAATCATGTCAGTACGTAGACAACAAATACACAAAAATGAAATGATATATGTAAAATTATTAAAAGTACAATACGAGTAAATGATAAAAATGATCAATAAATGTGTGGTTTGAGATGATAGCGATCAATTGGTCAAAAATATGATTGAAAATTTCACATTTATTTTCATTATGACATTATTTTAAAAAATTTTTATAATATAAATTTTTTTTTATAAAACTTCTAATAAAAAATTTCTAAAATTTATTTTCTTAATACAAAAGCTTTTACAACTTTAATTTCCATTTAAACCGATTTAAATCTAAAAGTTCTTACAATGAAATTATATTTTCATCTGTTTTTAACATTGCAAAATTTTTATGAAGTAATTTAATTGATCCCAGAAATAATTTGAGGTTCGAAATTGAATTGCTATATTTATATTATAACCAAAGTAAATGCTTTTTTCAATTTTGATTAACTATTTTAATTTTTATTACAACTTAAATTATAAGACACAATATTTATTTAAACAATGCAAATATTATTACTAGCAAAATTTTTAGAATTAATGTAATAAATGTCTTTTTTAATTTGTAGAAATATTTGATATAACAATATGTTAGGTAATTTTTTATAAAATTTTTTTTTCAAAAAATAATATGGATGTTTTTCAAGTTTAATTTTATTGTAAATTTTATGTTTGAAAAATTCAGATTCATGTATTAAAAATAGCTAAAATATAAATTATTATATTTAGAATAATCAATAATAAGCTATTGAATATGAATTGTGTCAGCTAATGAAATAATAAAAACAATGAATAATAAGTGATAATTGGAAATATCTATAGGTGAATTTGTTTACTATCGTTAAAATCTTTGCAGAAAAAAGTATATGAAGAGTTTGAATATGACTGATAAAGTTATTTTCTCATTTAAGGATTGCTCATAACTGGTTGCTTCTTCTACTGCTCTTATATCAATCTTTTCAGAAATATATCAAATCATTTGATTTGATATTTTAAAGTTTTCTTAAATAAATTACTAAACTTGGAGCAAATTACTTTTATTTTATAACCTATTCATTAATTAATCAATTGATAGTCCTAATTTAATCGAAACTTTCCTAGAAGAAAATAATAATTCGAAGAAGATAATATGACTATTATCACAATGATTGCTCCTATTCTGTCATTACTGAGTAACATTATTGCATTAACACTGATTATTTTAAGTATCATACAATGTACTGCTAAAAAAGCGTTAGTTTTTATCATAAATTACTTTTTAAAATTATAAGAAAATTAGAAAATTTTTTGATAATTAAGAACTGACAATTAATTGTTGGCTTTTCAGAAATGAATTTAAAATGATTTGTTTATCTTAAAATTACATTCAAAGATTCTTTTTTTAAATTATTTGAAAATTTTTAATGATTAAATTTTCAAACATTTCAAACCACGGAATTAAAACGTTTAAATTTGTTAAGTGATATTAAATTATTGCAACTTTTCTAGTCAATGCTTAATAAGCATAAGCTAATAATCTAATAGGCCTTTGAATGCCTGTTTATCAGGCCTAAAGTATAATCAGTTGACAGCACTTTACTTTAAGAGAAAATAAAATTCATCGATCGCTACAGTAAGCTAAGCTACCAAATCCACTTCTAACTTTACTGTAATACTTAATTGTGAGAAAAGGATAATAGGTAATTTGCCTTCATCATACCTCAAAATTTGATTCTGATTAAGCTAAAAAACTGACCTTCAAATATTATTTAGAAAAGGCATTCCGATTCCCGGTTTTGACCTGTGATCATGAAGAGATGATTCCGTTGAACTATGGAAATATCATTTTCTCATATAATCTTGCAATATTATCAAAAGTGTATTACAGCAGGGAATATCAATAACCAATATTTCAGTGATAAGCCACCGGCACCAGCAGGAGGCGTAGCCGCTCCGGCAGCAGCTGCGCATCCTGGCGAGGAAAAGAAAGAAGAGAAGAAAGATGAGAAGAAGGAAGAGGAAGGTGAGAAGAAGAGCAAGAAGTCGGAACAAGAAAAGAAGGAGGGTGAAGGTGGTGAGGGGGAGAAAAAGGGTGATGAAAAAAAGGAAAGTGAAGGTGAGAGGAAGGAAGAGGACAAGAAACAGGGGGAGGGTGATAAGAAAGAGGAGGGTAAAAAGAGTGAAGAGAAGGGGGAAGAAAGAAAAGAGGGAGAGGTAAGTGTGAAGTTTTTTTTGTTTTCTAGTTGGATGTCTTGAAATAGAAACTTGAATAGATTTTTTGGAATTGATCAATTCGAGATATCTCAATTATATTTTGGATTGCAAATTTTGATGTTATCCTTCGACCTTTTGTAAACAATTATCGGCAATTGTCTGTTGCACAATACTTGAAATGAGATGGTGCATAGCAAAACAAATTCTTATGTTCCTATCGCTATAAGATAGTAGTATCAGGGATAAGCGGATGATCATATCGGATCAGATCTAGTCAATAAAAATTTTAGCTTTCAATTAATGGTTTAAATTTTTATAGGAAGAGAAAGGTGAAAAGAAGGAGGGTTCCAAGAAGGAAAGTTCCAAAAAGGAGGGATCAAAGAAAGAGGTAATGAAATTTTCGGTGTTCAATTTCTCCATTCCTCTCTTTTTTTTCTATTTCACTTATGAATTTGAAAAGAAAGGAAAAAGAGAAAGAAAAGAAAAGAAAAAACAATTCAGGAAGAGAAAAAAGGTTCGAAGAAGGAAAGTTCCAAAAAGGAAGGATCAAAGAAGGAAGGATCCAAGAAAGAGGTGGATTTTTTTTTTATTCTTTGATCGAAATTATTTTCTAAATTATTAATTTGAGAAAGAAATTTCTTATTTTTTATGAAAATAAAAATTTAAGAAAGGAAATTTTCGTTTTTTTTTTTCTTTTTTTAGGAAGGTGAGGGTGAAAAAAAGGAAGAGGAAAAGAGAGATGAAGAAAAGAAAGATGAAGAGAAGAAGGATGAAGAGGAGAAAAAGGATGAGTAAATAAATGAATAATTGGATTTAAAAAAAAAAGCAAAAAAAAGCAAAAAAAGAATTGGTGTGCAAAATGATGATCTATCTATCTATCTCAAAAGTATGAAACAAAGTATTAATTTGGAAAAAGAAGTCAAATGATTCATAACTTTCAAATGTTTTGGATCGTTTAATATTTCTGCTAACAAAATTTATTTCAAATAAAGCAAAAAGAATTGGATAAATTTATTAATACTCATTAAAATATTGTTGCATTTAAATCTGAACGGAAATCTGAAAAAATTACTCAAGCTTAAAAATGATTAGATAGCATTAGCAAATAATTTTAATGAAATTTTTCAAATCTTATTTTTCTAATAACATTTAAATCAAGCAATACTTCAATATCATTTTTATCATATTCCTTCACTTATCAGTGGTTAATTTTCTTTTTCCCTTTAATAATTTATCCTATTTGAATTTATCATATAATTCTGCTTAAAATATCTGTAATAGAAACAGTAATTATAATTTTAAAATATTGCTTAAATTATTGAAAGAAATTTATTGAATGAAAAAAAATTATTAAATATGAAACATTTTACAAGTCATGTACTATATTTATTCATTTTATACATTTCATATATAAATTGAGTGTTTGAAGGTCATAAGTCTATTTTACTATTTCTCTATTTTAGTAAGATAGTGAAGAGATTATTTTCCAAATAGGTAATATGCGAAGTCACAAAAATTTATAATCAAACAAAACCATTTGTAAGAACAACAATGCATTGTTAAAATTACGTTTAATCTAATTAAATTTAATTTACATTATTTTTTAATTTAACTGAATTTAACTTTAAACCAATTAATTAGACAAAATTTATTTTGTCGTTCCTTTTTCTCTTTTAATATTATTTTTTGTTTTTGTTTTTGCTTTTTTTTTTTTTAAATATTTTATTTCATTACGATACTGTGTAAAAAAAATTAAAAAATTTGAATTTTTACACGACATTTTTGCATGATATAAAACAATTGGTATAACAGTTATGAAATGGCAATATATTTGTTATTCTTATTAAAAATACAGTGAAAAGCAGCAGAAGTCTGCATTCTTCTATTATCAAAGTGATTAATTGAATTCTTATCACTTTGTATTTTTCTACAATAATATGAATGTGCTAAACTAAATCAGAAAATTTGACAAAGAATAAAATATGATATTTTAAAAATGAAATTATCGTTATCAAGTGAAAAAATGAAAAAAGCTTTCAAAAAAAGTGTTATTATCAACTTTATCAGATGATATTACACATATGTAAAATTTTATCCCTTTATTTTTTCCTTTTTTGTTTTATATTTTCTTCAAATATATTACTTTTTTTTTATGCTCACAATATATTCTAATATGTTTATAGATAGCGAAGAAAAGAGCAGATAAAAAAGAAATTTAAACATACAAATAACAATAATAATGGATAAATTGAAATTGATTGAATCGCCTATATTGTTGATTTTTCATTTTATATTATTGCTATATGTTGCCCTAATTTATTCTATTAATTGCTGCAGCTCAAAAAAAACTCCTCGTGCGGTTCGTTTAAAAAAATCTTTAAAAAATTTATAAATTAAATTGACTTGACAATTGCAAGAAATATATTTGAGAAATATTCTCATTTTTAATTTTCAGTTATCTATAATAATATATTGAAAAAA